CCGTGCAACTTAATGGGATAAGAGAAATTTAGAGGCTCTGAATTATCATCACTGGGATTGCCATTCATCTTCGTGTGTAAACCAAACAGTTCAGACTGTGGAATAATTAAAAGTTTGATATCGTGAAGAACTAAACCAGTATCAATCAATAAATCAATCAATGATTCACGAGGAGTTACGTCTGCATCCAAATATCAGAAATTGCAAGAAAACTGCTGGCACTCAAATCTGCAACATGGCCAGGGCACGATGACTTGCAAAGAGCGACTTCAATCGGCCATGACATCCATATAGTATACTTGAGCGATACAGAACATACATGATACATGCAAGGTCAGCAACCACCATCTGTGGTTGGCTTAATAATTTATCCCAACTGCATCAAAGAATCTGTTGTCATAACCAGCTTCGTATTTGTTGTAAATCACCCTCAGGTTAAATCAACAAAGGGCATGTGCCAATTCCATCTTATTATTGTTATTATTATTGTAATATTATTATTATCCAGTTCTCCTTAAGTTATGTGATAATAACCTATGGGGGGGGTCAACTCATTCCTACATTGCCTTGCCCACCATTCACCAAGCTAACTAATAAGCAAGAGTTTAGCATACCTCCAGAAGGGGTGATTGTACATCAGAATTTTGGTTACTTGTCGAAAAAACATCAAGCCACACTGGCCGCCATAGTGCCATGTTTATTATTCACTAACCTTATCCTGAGCTAGGTGATTGAAGTTGAACGCTACCACCAATAAAGCGAATATGGGCACATACCAGAACTGCGGTAGCTTGTGAAAAAAACAGGGCACAATCACTCCCTACTTGCCACATTGGGCACGCACAAGCTTTGAGATTCTTGTCATGCTGGCCAACCATTCACCTTCATATTAACTTAGCATCCCTAATTGATCAGAGTAGAATCAAGCCCCGACATGGCGAGCGGGCACAAACAGGCAGCACCGTGGCAGCTTGCATATGAAATTATTAAATGGAACATACATGTACTTCCATAATTGCCTCCACTTGGCACACACAGCAGGCCCAAATTGTTGGCAAGCTAGAAAACTGTTAACCTTATGCGGGACAAAATAGGCACTAAACTTGAACTGACGGCGAAAAATCTTCTTCTAGTAGTAGGACAATACTCTCTCTGCCAAAAACGTGTGAAACCTTTATACCCATGCAAACAGCTGTACCGTAACATAAGAGTTTTCTCAAGGGCTGGCAACCTACATGTACAAGTAGAAACTTTAAAAAGTCATTGGTTGGAAATAAATTTCGGCGTCCCAGCACAAAATGCACTGCGTACAGAAACAATACGTAGACGGACATGGCAAGTAATTGAATATCCATAAAACTGGAGTATGAAACTAAGCTATCAAAAGCAAATGGGAAAATTGGAACCTTAATCTTTCTACTGCACTAAATTCAAGTGAACAAGTAAGTTTGAAGTTATGATGATAAAATCGAGGAAAACAAGTAAGCTTCAAATTGCTGAGAAAGTCACAGTCTGCATTGAGCGGGTTTTGTAAACATTAAACTTTCATAAAGCTGTCTTCAAGAAACGAGAGCACGAAATAGAAAGTTCAGCGAAATTAACAGGGGTTTACTTGTAGTAAACTTTCATAAGTATTGTTTGTACGGCAATTATTTGATCCAAAAGAACACGGTTTTTCCTATTAGTTATGTCTCTATCCTAAAACTGAAGTGTGATTTTACTGGTGTGATGAGGGTTTTCATGTAACTTCCCATGTAAGCACTACTCCAAGCTGCATGCAAACCTTAAAAGTTCTAACGATTACGAGATAATGGTCCACAACATTCACCATACAAAAGAGCTCACGTTTTGAAATAAATGCTACATATTCCCCCACCTATTTACATGACATTCCATTAATGCCAATTATACCAGGCAGCGCACAAGATAGCTTATTTGAAAAATAACAACCAAACTCTTTCCCTGAAGAGGACTTACAAGGTAGTCGAGCAGGTTTTCAGTCCTCAGCACCACCTAATTAATGGACACAGAGAATACAATGGTTGCAAAGCACACCATAGACTGTCACTCCCCGTTTACCAGCTTTCAACCAACCCTTTGGGGCTAGCTTACATTAAAACCCTAACCCCCAAGGGTTTATGTAAAATCGTATTGAAATTGGAGGATTTGGGACCGTTAGGGTTAATAGCCAATTCGTTCACAAAACCAGTAAAGAGAAAACATCCAGCTTGATACTTAGAAACAAGCCTATTTGGATAGAACTACCACATTTGAATAGGCTGATAAATAAACACTCAATCCCTGCACAAATTCCAATTTAGTTTGCAACTTCAGAGGAATATACATTGCCGACGAAGGAAAGAAAAATCTCATATAACAGTGTACAACATCTTTCTTGTCTGTTGATTGTAAATTATAGTAACCCTATAACTTGACCTTCCTTGGGCTTCTGCCAGCCAGCAAGGACCCAGGTGGTCACGCGCCTGCACTCCAAGCTACGTGTTTACAACACCATGGCAACAAACAGCTTATTATTAAATTTAGGAATTGTCAACAAACTATATGTCTGCTGAGAATAATGCATTTTATCTTGGAGTAATAAAATAAATTATTGCATTCCTGTTGCCGACCCACCTCCAGGGTATGATGCCACTCTTCATATGTAGGCTGGGCAGGGGTATGTGAATGCAGGAGACTCCTCCCCCACATGGAGTGGGTCGAGTTTCCTAGTGATACCCACCCCTGCCCAGCTGCTCCCGCCCATCCGTCCCCACTTTGGCTCTGGTGGTTTTCACCGCTTTGAAAAGAAGAACAAACATGGCGGCAGGGCTGCAGTGCATTGTGGAGGGTCAAGGGGCAGTATGCATAATCAAGTCTTTTCAGTGAATTGTAATAGGCACATGGGAAATTTGCATATGTAGGCTGGGCAGGGGTGAGTATCACTAGGAGACCTGACACACTCCATGTGAGGGAGGAATTGACGCCATGGTGTCTACTACTTTTTCTTCTTGTGTTTGAATGGAACCCTCTCTCCCATTCCATAAAAGACCTAACCAATTCAGTTGTGGGTGGGTGACCATCTTAATTTTTCCTTGTTGGGAACAAGCCCTACAGCTGTAAGGTCAGCCGTCACCTCTTGAGCGATTTTGTTACACTTATTTCTTGTGTCCTCTCTTCCCCATCCATCATCCAGGTAAACTATGATGTACATACCTTGCCTCACAAATAGGGCCACCAGTGGTCTGATAATTTTAGTAATATGTGTGGAGCGCTAGTTTAAACCAAATGGTAGCACATTGAATACAAAATATCTGGTGTGACCTTGAACGTCCCATGCAAACCCAAGGTACTTGATTTGTTCACTGAAAATTTTGACATGATAACACCTGATTTTAAATCAATGGATCACCCATTTTATATTGTGGTGCCTCATTCCAGTCCTTGAACTTACCTTTCCAAACAAATCAATTTACATACCTTAGATCTAGAATGAATGTCTTTCCTTGCCAGACTTTTATACTGAAACAGTTACTGGATTAATTATGTATGGGGGAATTCGAACTCTGAAATCAGGTTTTTGTCCTTAAGCTCTGTTATGGCCTCCTGTCCAATTCTGAATGGAGGATTGCAGAGTGATTTTTCTTTGAATACCTCAGTGGTGTTTCTTTAAAGGGAATCCGGTAACCTATACATAATATATCTAATACCTCTGGATAAGCTTTAAGTTTTCCCCAGAATGCTGTACAAGGTCATCATGCACCCTTTTAAGTTTCATTCTGCAACCTCTTGTTCATAATCATATAAATTATCTGCTTAAAACTTATGGTACTGTGCTTCTGTGCTCTGCCATGAACCCACACTATCCTCTACCAGGATGTGACTATCGAGTACTGATGTCTTTGGTTCTGTCTGCCTGGATTTTGGAGAGTTCCTTTCTCCAGTGAACTGTTTTTCCACACTTAAAACAAATGTCTGTGGGTCTCGCTGCTGATCTGAAAAGAGTGGTGTATGGGAGGCAAGATGCTGGTCTATACTGGTTACTTGTAGTGGTGAAAATGACTATCTGGATTAGGAGACGACTCTGAGATCTGTCCTTGCATTTGTTGGAAAGTGATGTGGAGTTATATGAACTCTTGGCGCTCTTGCATTTGGCCATAGCCCGGGACTGAGCAGAGTGAATTCTTTTCTTGTCCTCGCAATCATCCACCAACTCATTGCTTGACGTATTCGTCTACACCACCCCAACCTGCCTCTGATTTATTGGCAAGATGGATCAGCTTATTCCTCTTATGCAATTCTGTGACTGCTTCTGCTAGGCTTTCTTTTGCTGCCACTTAGGAATTCTCTTTGAGCAATTTCTGAGCAGTTTTGACCTTTTGAGCTTTCTTCTCATTGAACTCAAAGTGAGCATGATTGCCTTTAAAATGAAATTATAACTCCCTCTCTTCAAGAACTGGACCTTGCTGGTGGGCTTTTTTTATTTTCATGCTTATGTTTTGCTATAACCTTGTCAATGTGTGATTGGAATGAACCCAGGGCCTCTGATACTCCTTTTACTATTTTGGAGACATCGATCTTAAGGAGATAGGCTATTGAGCACCTTGAGCACCCTGTCTACGTTGTGTATCTGTATTAGATAGTGAACATCATTGGCCTCCGCCATTGTAGGGCGTAGAGAGTTAAGTGAAAAATTCTGTTGTAGCTGCACTGAAAACAATCAATGAGTACCACACCCTTGGCTTGTGCACTCTATCTTTGCAATCTTACATAATATACTAATTTACCATGCCCTCTATTGTTTTTGATAGAAAGTGTGAATACCATCTGACCTTAAGCCTGATAGTATGGATTTGCAAAGAATTCACCTAGTAGCCCTTAATTTAGGTTGTAATGTGCTTTATTATTGTATGTGTCTCTTTAAACTGATTTTAAATGTTTAAGTGACAAAGATGTTAAGATAAATGTTTAATTCAAAATCACAATTATTTTAAATTTTCCAGAAGAAACTTCATATCAGCTGGTGCTGCAGCTGGTGTTGCTTCTGCCTTTGGTGCCCCTGTTGGAGGCTTGTTATTTGCCATGGAAGAGGTGTCATCTTTCTGGAGTATGAAATTGTCATGGCAGGTTTTTTTCTGCTGTATGGTTTCCACCTTTACCACTGACTTGTTCAACTCTGCATTTCACAATTTCAAGTATCAAGGCCAGTTTGGTCTTTTCAAGACAAAAAGCTACATCATATTTAAGGTAAGGGAAAAAAGTACAAGTTCTTAAATTAATTAAGTGTCCAGGTATAGAAAGTACATATTCTTCCTCCTTGTGTTCATTTCTACATGAATCACTTACTACACTCTGCATGTCTTTCTACCACTGGAGTCTGTATAGGAATTAGTATACCTACACTTGAACGGCATTGTGCACGTGCACAGTTGTTCATACACACAGTACTCGCAACGTAACCAGTGTTAAAATCCACGACCTTTGAGGCTGAGTCCAGGTCCTGGGTCTCCAAGGCTAAGGCCAAGACCAATTCAAGACTGACTCACCAAGGCAACAGTGTCTAAGTCCTAGGCCAGTTATTCCATATATACTTGTACATCACCACCCTCACCACCACAAAAAGAGCAAATATGGAAGCTAACTTGCTCTCAGTATATTAAAGAAGTTCCCCACAATAATTTGTCAACGTTTTGAAATAATAGCCGCACAGTTGTCAAAAAGATCCTCCAACCAAATGCATTTATATGTGAATGTAACAATTTTTCAATAAGAAATGGAAGAAAAAAGTTGGGAGAGCTTCCAAAAGTGATAATACATGTAATTTCTTTGGAAAAAGCAGTATTAGAAAGAAAGTAGCACTCTCTCCTATCCATTAATACACGGCCTAATGGAAAAAATCACAAAAGGCAGTCGGCGTCCAACCTGTGTTTAAAGGTGGCACATGCGAAGCTACCTTCCAGCATTGGCCAGACAATCAGATGGCTAAGCAGCCAAATGGGCCAACACCTTACGATCTAAATTTATCCTTTTTAAGGTATCTCTGATCTAAATTCTTAAAAAATGATACCCACTTCCTTGTAAATGTATCAGAAGCCATTTGAAAAAATTGCCCCTTTTTTCTAGTCAAAACTCTTTTCGGAGCTCCATTAAAACTACCGGAAAAGAGGTATTTGGTATACCATCTCTTACTTCGATGGGACGTTGTGTGTCTCCTGCTGCTGATAAAGCCCAGGTATTGAACAAGCATTTTTGTTCAATCTTCACAAAGGAAGACCTTAGTGACTTTTCGTCAGCTGGATCCACTCACTATCCCAAACCTATCGACAGTGTTGTTGACTTTAGTTACTGACTCCAGTGGTGATTTTTATCGACTTGAGACTTGACTTCGAAAAAATGACTTAGGACTTGACTAAGTTTGACTTTGTGAAAAACACTCATTAAAAATAATAAACACAAACGTTTGGGTGTCCGCACATAATTTATTGAAGAGAATGCCCATTCAATGTCGACCCTTTTAATGTAGGCTAGTGACTGCAAGAGCAAACTGCCTGATTGTCCGTATGCTGCACAGCCAGGACTGCACAGGGGGCTGCATGGTATTTGAGGCATGCATATTCTTAGACATTATATCATTTGTTGCTCAGCGCAGCAATTATTCTTTATAGGCTTACTCCATACATGTACATGATCTGAAAGCATAACAGAAGAAACTTCTTTTCAAACAGCTGGAAAAAAATACTACCCTCATAAATCAATCAATAATTTACTTGTGACCTGATTTGGGAAATTTGACTTGTGACTTGACTTGGGAAGATTTGACTTGAGACTTGAGTTGACTTGGGAAAAATAACTTGGTTACAACACTGTCCATCAACCTCACCATAAAAGTACCCTGGGGGTGGGAAAGCGTCTCACCAACACTCAACAAAAAAACATCAGTAACAGACTAGGTTTCTGCCAAGATTTTAATAAGCTGTACATGTATCTCCAGCCTTATTATTTATCGTCTATTATGGATAAGTTTCTCAGGCAGGTCATGTGATGTTCAACTTGCAAGTCTGATAATTGACATTGCTAAGATCATGACCACTAAAAGCCAGGTCAATTTTGTTATATTGGATTCAGCAAGGTCTTTAACACAGTGCCCACCAAAGATAGTTGTGCAGGCTGGAGCATTTCAGAATTAAGAGCAGCCTTCTTGGATGGATAAACACCTTCACTGCCAGACGTTAATGTGTACAACTTGTATGTGTTGAGACCAAACTCACCAGAATCTCCAGTCACATAAGGAGTGTCCAGAGGGACTGTGTTTGGGTCTTTGCCCTTCCTTTTATACATAACTATTTGGCAAAAGCAGTCTCTTTAAAACCATACTGTGAGCAGATGACTACATAATTTCCCAGGAAATTACAGGAAACCAGGATAGCCAGCCCCTTCAAGAGTAAATCAGTTTTCTTTGCCACCAGGGAGCAAAATGACAGATGGTTTTTCAAATCAATTCTTCAAAATGTTCGTTGATGCATGTCAACCACATGAACAAGCCTATCCATATGTATAATGATTGAAATGCTCTTGAAATAATGAATCATGACCTACACCTTAGAGTGGAGATTAGGGAATACCTTAACTGGGTAAACCACTTAAATCAAGTCACAAGTAAAGCTAAGAGTTCTGTATTATCTGAAGAGAAGTATCTACTCATATAGTAAATCAGTGAAATAGCCTACCAATGAAATGAATGAAATATCCTACGAAACCCTAATCAGAAAACAGTTTGAGTGCTGTGCACCAACATAGGATCCTCATCACAATGACAACAAGACATCTCTTTCGAAAATCCAATGCTGAGCTGCTCGCTCAACATCCAGAGCAACTACAGCAGAAAATCACCATGTTACAAATTTGCTCAAGTTGGAACCTTTTTAAC